CCAAGTCTAACACCATCTGCCCGGAGATAGCTTCAGTTCCAGCAGAGTAAGGACTGGTCTCTTGAGAATGCCTCCTGTTATGCCCAAATCTGCGAAGTCTCTGCAAAAGCCAGCAAGGAGACCGAGTCCCATATGTAAAAAAGCAAAGAGCCTTTATTTTATGCAAGTTTGCAAACTCTCTCTGCATGTCCAACATATTAGAATAAAAGGAGAGCCCCAAGCTCAGTTAGAGTTGGGTTTTATAGTAAAAGTGGGGGTGAGGGGTTTCTGAGGTTCAGTACCCCTGATTGGCTGACGTTTGTCTAGGGGCGTCCTGGTGAGTGTGTGCTGGCGGGTGGTCCTATCTACAGCTGTTGGAATGCCAGGCATTTCCTTTGGATGGTCTGTTTTTGGTGGTGCTCTGGTAATTTCAGTTTGAGGATCTTTCTGCAGCCAGGGTAAACTTCTGAGACTCAGGCCTTCATTTAAATTTATTGATGGCTGAGTCATACTCTGGCAGGTGATAATGGTTGGAAGTAAAGAACTTCCTTTGGGTGACCTGCCCATACTTAGCTTATCATGGCTGGCTCCCACACCTCCCACGGCTGACACTAGTAGCTGTGCTAGCTAGAGGTAGTAGTTAGCTACCTGAGCCTCTGACCCACCAACTGTGACTTGACTCCCACAGCCTCCTTCTTGGGTTCAATTCTTCAGAATGCCTCACAGAATTCAGCAAACACACTTGCCAGTTGTTTGCAAAAGACACTCCAAGGCTGAGGAGAAGGTGGCAGATGAAGAAGTGCAAGGTGTGGGGGGTGGAACCCCTGTGTACTCTCTGAGCATGCTGCCCCCTAGGTGCCGTGCTCTGCACCAGCCAGAGAATGATCTGTGACAGCCATGCTCTGGATTTTGAATGAGTGAGTTTACTAAGTCTATGTCAAGCCAAAGGTAAAAAAAAAAAAAAAAAAAACAAAATGGCAAGAGACAGACAGACAGACAGACAGTCAGTCAGACAATAATAAAACATCATCGAATTGGGTGCTTCATACATCCAGCAGATACCAATTCAGGAAGCCCCTTTATGACAATCAGTTAGAGTTCCCAATAGAGGGTCCCAGGCAGAGCAGAACCTCCCCCACGTGGGGCTTCCAAGTACAAGATCAAGGAGCAATAGACAGAGATGACATCATCAAATGGGGTCCTCTAACATCCAGCAGAGACCTCTGACAGTCAGCTGAGTTCCCAAGTTGAGTGTTTTCTCTGTGTCTGTATTTGGGCCTTCTCTTTCCCGTTTGCCTACACTTTTATATTGCTAGATAAACAATAGTGGCAATTGTTGGGAATGGTTTACCTTGAGCTGTTTCGAGGGCATAGTGCTTTCCCTCTGGGGCTGTTTCTTCCTCGCGACCACAGAGGAAGGGGGCAGCACGTCCCAGGACAGTGGGCCCCACAGGGCGCTTTGAGACACTCGTGCTCTGGTCTGAAATGGGGGAGGAGGCTCCCCTCCTGGGAGCCAGCTTCACAGTGAGCTTAACACTGTGTGCGCTAAGCAATCTGGAAGCTCTCTGAACCAAGCCCTTTCAGCTTTTATTATATAGGTGTGATTGATAAAAATAATTATTTGACTTTTATTACATAGGTGTGGTTGATAAAAATAATTAACCATTGATCAGCCTCTGTCCCTTGGAGGCAGGGGAGGGGAGTGAGGTGGTGCTAAAACCAGACTTCTGATCTTGGAGTAGGCTCCCCTGGCAGTCAGTTCTTGAGAGAGTTGGTTCATCTACCGCATGGGGCCTGGGAATTGAACCCAGGTTTTCAGCATGGTGGCAATCGTCTTTACCATTTGGGTCATCTTACTGGTCCCATGATTATGTTTTAATGGAAGAGGAAGGAAGAAATTATCTTTGGTCTAACAAAAAGCCTTTGAAGTCTAGCCTTAAAGCTAACTAAGTTATAAGAATAAATAAAAATTAAAAAAAGACTTAAAGAAAGACTAGCTAAGTAACATTTGATTATTATATGTAATTTCACACACACACACACACACATATATGTAGGTATAATTGTTATGTGCAGAAGTGGCAGTTGTCCATCTTTTTTCCCTAAAAATAAAAAAAGAAAATATTAGCTTCAATTTTGCAAAGTCCAACTGAAGTTTTATTTCTTTGCAACTGAACAGAGAAACCAAACAAAAAAAGCTGGTGAGATAGGAAGATATCTTAGTTATTTTCCTGTTGTTATGAAGAGACATCATGACCAAAGCAGCATATGAAAGAAAGTGTTTAGTTGGGGCTTCCAGTGTCAGAGGGTGAGTCCACCATGGCAGCTGCATGGCAGACATGGTGCTGGAGCACAGCTGAGAGTTTGCATCCTGCTCAGTAGGTGGAGGGAGAGCGGAGGGATCAAGCTTAATCCTGGAACTAGCTCTCGTAGACCATGCTGGCCTTGAACTCGCAGAGAACCGCCTGCCATGGCCTCCCTAGTGCTGGGATTAACGTCTGGCTGATGCAGGCTTTTGGCGCAGGCTTTTAAAACCTCAAAGCCTGCACCCTCAGTGACACGCCTCTTCCAACAAGGCCACTCCTCCTAATTCTTCCCAAACTGTTTCACCACCTGGGGACCATGTAATCAAACATACGAGCCCATGGACGCTATTCTCATTAGAGCCACCATGGAAGGCAAGAGGCATGCTTTTCACTCTTAATACAGAGAGTGTGTCACCTCTGCGTCCTCAGAGAGTATGTATTTCCCTCTACCAGCACACACCAGCCAGCGCCCAGCAATCCATCCTGACTCCATCTGCCTGAAGTCAGCATCGGCTCTCACAGGTTAAGGACTTGGTCCCATTAGTCTATTCCTAGCTTTGGACACCAGTGAGAGCGGCAGCCTGACTCTGACTTACCACCCCCTCCCTGGCTTCTGTTCATTGCTAGAGTGTCTCTTAGAAACTGGGAATCGTGTTTACTGAGTGCTTGTGAAGGATGTTCTAAGGGCTAAGGGCGAGATGAGCCCAACAGGTAGGGAGCTGAACACTCGTGTGCTTTCTGGGTGTGCCTCCCTTTATACACCTCTAGGTGTTCAGCGTTGGCAGACTCTTTGAACCTGGTCCTTTGGGAATTATGGAAACTTTATTATACAGCATCCTTGATAAAACTGTCGACTATCAATCGACTCAACCTTCATCCTCTGCCCCTTCCTTGGAGGTTGGGGATTGTGGGACTAGAGTCCAGACCTCTGATCTTGGGGTTGGCTCCCCTGGCCTCAGGTAGCTTAGGAGCCCCCAGCCATCAGTCACCCCTGTCCTACCATTGGCCACTGTGTGCACTGTGTGTGTTACACCGTGTGGCTTCCACGTGTAACCCGTGCGCTCATTCTTTTCTTTGTGCTTATATGACATGAACAATACTCTATGAGTCTTCTTTAAAGTTTCTGTTAATTAGTTTTAGATGTGTGTGTGTCTCTGTGGGCGAGTATGGTGTAGGTGCCCTCAGAGAGTATAGATTCCCTGTGTGTGTGTGTCAGGTTCCCTGGAGCTGAATTTCAGGCCATGCTGAGCTAACTGACCCTCCTCCAGGAGAGCAGCAAGCCCTCATAACCACCAAGTCATCTCCAGCCCCCTTACAGACATTCTCATTGTGTCTTCTGAGAAGACAACTTGGGTGAGGTCAGTTCTCTTCTCCCATGTGGGATCCCAGGGATTGAACTTAGTTTGTGCAGCTTGTCCGTAATCCCCTTACCTGCTTAGCCGTCCTGCCAGCTCCAAGGTATGGATTTTAAGTGTAGGCTACCTAGACCAGAAGACATGTAGCATTTATTTATTTACTTGTCTGTCATTTGTTGCACATTTTGGATATCTCTCATTTGTTAAGTAATATTAATTCCCTTCTCAGATCTTTGACGGAGTTAAAGATTAGATAATTGTAGTTACTCTCTACATTATTTAGACTCCTTGAGATAGAATGTTTAGTGTATTTATTATTTGTTCCTATTGTATATAGTTGTATTTGTATCTATCTTATTTAGACAAAAGGGGGAGATGTAGGAGTAGCCCCAGCCAATCACCTTGCTTGTAGGGCGGGGTCGCCTGAGGATAGTTTTTACTAATAAATATTGCTGGTGTGCTCTCCCCGCCCCTTCTGCTTTCCTGTTCTCTGCTGGAACCTTGGGTTCTGTAAGTCTCTTTCCCAATTAAAGCTGAATATATTATTATAATTTCTATCTGCCTTCATTTACGCCGCTACAGGCCTTAACAAAAGGGTGTCAAGATTTGGCAACAGGAGTTGTGGTGGTAATGCCTGTAATCCCAGCTCTGGGACAGGGAGTATTCTGAACCTTCAGGAGTTCAGAAGTTCAACTATTTAGTGAGTATTCTGTGTGTTTGTTGAACCCCTTTGCACCCATCACCTCGGGCATCCTCCCACAGGCATAGGCACAGCATTCGCACAGGCTTTGTGTGTGTGTGTGTGTGTGTGTGTGTGTGTGTGTGCCTTTGTGCAGTTCTTATGGCGTGGGAGGGCAGGGCAAACTGTTCTCCAGATCCTTAAATCCATAGTTTGCACGAGAGCCCCCGCATCTTAGTTAGGGTTTCTATTGCTGTGGAGAGACACCATGTCCAGGCAGCTCCTATAAGGAAAACATTTCACGGGGGCTGGCTCACAGTTTTAGAGGGTCAGTCATTATCGTCATGGTGGGAAGCATGGCAGTGTGCCGGCAGACGTGGTGCTGGCTGCATCTTGACCAGAAGGCAACAGAGAGTGTCTGACTGTCACACAGAGTAAAGCTCGTGCACAAGAGACCTCAAAGCCCACCCCTCACAGTGACACACTTCTTCCAACAAGGCCATGCCTGCTAATAGTGCCACACCCTTTGGGGACCATTTCTTTCATGCTCCCCCCCCATTATAGTGCTGGGAATGGAACCCAGGGCCTTGTATATGCTAAGTAAGTACTCTACCACTGGGCTAGCCAGATCTCATTTCTATGTTTTGTTTTGTTTGTTTGTTTTTAAAATAGAATTTTGTTATGCTTCCTTTTGCAACACATCTACTGGAATTGGAATGATACAGAGTCAATTAGCCTGGCCCCTGTGCAAGAATAACACAGATTTGCTGAATGTTCCATATTCTTCTCAAAACAATTAAGTAAATATAAAAATAAACAAATGGATATTAAAATTTAAAAAGTAGCTGGGTGTGGTGGCATTTGCCTTTAATTCCAGAGTTCAGGAGGGAAAGACAAGTGGATATCTGTGAGTTTGAGACCACCTTGGTCTGCATAGCATGTCCGTGGCCAGCCAAGACTTCATAGTGAGACCCTGTCTTAATACCTTTCCCTCAAAATAACAATGAATAGGGTTTTGCTATATATTTCAGGCTATCCTTGAACGCAGTATCCTCCTGCCTCAGCCTTTGGAGTTCTGGAGTTATAGATATAGACAGTCATTCATTGCCCCTTGTTCTCAGGGCTGTTAAAGAAAGGAAGGAAATATGCTTGGTGATTCACTAGGGAGGTAGAAGCAGGAGGATTGTGAATTTGGAGCCAGGTTGGGCAACATTGTGAAATTCTCACCACTTGGCTACACCGTGAGACCTTGCTTAAGGGGAGTGAGAAGAAATAAATTGATACTAAGCCTTGTCTGGAGTTAAGTAAGATTTGTGGATATTCTTAGGGTTCATTAATAAGTTAATTTCAACTGAAATCTGCTGTTTATGTTTAGAGATCATCAAAAATTTACAACATACCCATTTTATTATAATCAGTTACTTACAAATCAAAAATTTAAAGATAATTTAATCTCTCCCAAATTCTTTCACATATGTGTCCTTAAGAAACAAAATTTTATCGGTTCAAGGGAAATGCTTTAAGAGATCAATAGTCAAAATCAGTATAAAATTATGTAAGAAAAGATGAATGTACATATGTGTTTCTACCATTTCTCAGCATATTAGAGCAGCACTGAGAGATAGGAGGCTCAAGGGTAGCCTCTACCACATAGCAGGTTCCTCAAGGCCAGCCTGGGCTACCAGTGACCGTGTCTCGAAAACAGCAACAATAACAACAGTAGTTGGCCTATTTAGAGAAAATCTTATTTGTGTATTTTAAAAATGGATGATGGTGGATATCAAACTGATAACATTTAGAAATCACTGGAAAAAATCAAGTATAGTCTCATTTTAAAAGTCGGTGTTATGTAATTCAAGGAAATGAAGTTAGATGGAAATATTTGCATATCAATCTGTGTGCGAAAGACACACAATTTTAACAGCTAATATGGAGAAGTCAATTTAAAAGCAAGCCAGGCGCACAGCAGAGCACAGTATGGTTCACGTCTGTGTTCACCCCCTTCCAGTCGGTAGGCATAACACACTTATCTCCAGTGTACAGCGGGAGACAGAGGGAGAGGCAGAAGTGTTAAGTTTACTTAAGGCCAACAGACCAAGGGAATGACTGACCAGTCTGAACCAGGTCTGAGAATTTCCAACCAAAGGTGCACCTGCTCCAGGCAACCCTCCCCACTTTGGAAAGAAACCCAAATCATTGGTATTTGTAATGGTTCGGAAGCCTAGCCATGTAGGTGTCTGGAAGTGTGCCAGGAACGCAAAGTTCCAGGTTCCAACCCGAGCCCAGTGGCCCAGAGTCTGCGTCTGAACAAGTGTCTAGGTGATTCGTAGCCATGGGAGCTGGAGAGCTCCTCCCCAGAGCATTTGCTGGACCTTCTGCTCTTTCCTGGCCCCTCTCTGAAGACCTCTCAGCAGCCGTTGGTGTATTCGGTGCCAACACAAGTAATCCGGTGTTCTCTTGCAACTCTCCCAGGCTATTCGGTCTCGACATTAAAGGCAGAGATTGTGGCGATGAGGTGGCCCAGTGGTTCACCAACTACCTGAAGACGCAACCCTACAGGTTGGTTCAGTTTGATACCAGCATGAAAGGAAGGACCACAAAGAAACTGTACCCTTCTGAAAGTTACCTCCAGAATTATGAGGTGAGTGTACAGTCTTCCTTCCTTCTACCTGCTACCCTGGGCCCTCCGTGCTTTCTTCTCTGTCATAGAGCCCTTTGGGAGGCTTCAGTTAGGAAACCTTGGCAGTGGTTCAGGAGGGTGGTCCAGGGTACAACCTACACGTTAAGGATGGAGAGGGACTTGGGTTGAGGGCTGTCTCAGTGCTGGGACTTCCGGGTGCCTGGAGGGTTAGGTATGGGAGATGTGTGGAGGGCACAGCCGGGGCTGACTTGTGAGGAGATGGGGACTCAGGAGGAAACTGGCTGGAAGCTGAGTGTGGTGGCTCATGCCTGTAATCCTAGCACCAAGGAGGCTAAGATAGGAGGATTACTGTGAATTTAAGGCCAGCCTGGGCTCAAGGTGAGACTGTGTCCCAGAGAGGAAAGAAAGAGAAGAAGCCTGGCTGCAAGTGAAGGTGAAATGTTGGGACTAAGTGTGCCTTTCCCGATGCAGGCTTTCTCCAGGCCACCTTCACTGCCTGTGTATGTGACAGCTGTGTCATAGGCCAGCAAGGCAGCCCCTGCCGGGGAAAGCTACAGCCAGTCACTAGGTCCCTCAGGGATTCCCATCCAAAGCCAAGGCTCGCTTATCTATTATTATTAATATTATTAGTGGTAGTGTTATTTGTTTGCTTTGTCACTAATGTTCCTCACCTAAAGCAGTGTCAGGTATCTCCTGGTGATTAATAGGTTTTGGACAGATGGTGGTGCTAATGAAACCATCGCTGGGATGTCCTCCATCGGCAGCAGACTCTATCTTGTGTGATGAGGAAGGAAAGCAGGCTGGTGAATAACAGCTCCCCAGTGTGGTGGTGCACACCTCTAATCTTAGCATTCCTCAGGTAGAGGCCTCGGCTCTCTGTGAGTTCAAACACAGCTTGATCTACCTAATAAATTCTAGGACATCCAGTCTATGAGCCTCCCCAACCCCCTCCCGCAATTGCCTCTCCTGAATATAGCTCTCCCCTTCCTTCCACACTTCAGAGGTTTCCTGTCTGGGCTCTGCTGAGCTTTGGGCTGCAATGGCAGGGGGCGGGGAGGCCTGACTGTGCTGTGTCCTGTAACAGGTAGCCTACCCAGACTGCAGCCCCATCCACATGATTTCTGAAGCCTCTTTAGTGGATCTCAACACCAGGCTGAAGAAGAAAGTGACGATGGAATACTTCAGGCCAAACATTGTGGTGTCAGGCTGTGAGGCTTTCGAGGAGGTAAGGGGTCAATGCCACAGACGTCAGACTCAGATGTGCTGCCCTCAGAACTGGTGGATCTAAAGGAAGCTCCTGCAGTGACCCAGATGCCCCTGGGCTGGTGGTGGGGATACTCCTTCCCTCAGATTCTCTATGGCGGCTAATGACCTCTTGGCCTCCAGGGGGCGCTGGCCTCCAGAGCTCACCAAACTCCAGCTTGCACTATCTACCTGTAGCCTGGGCATAAGGAAAGGAAAGGGAGACAAAGGGGACAGCGCTCCCATCATTTCCCAGGAGTGTGCTCAGAGATTTCAGTCCCGGGTTCCCACATAGAGGCTATGAAGGTACAGGAGTCCCACCCTGTGACAATGCCTGCTGCAGTCGGAGTCCTCTGTGCCTTCCCGAGTGACCAAGAGCAGGAAATCCCGCCCTGAGCATGGGGAGGAGTGGACTGAGCTTTCTGAGTACTGGGAATAACAAGGACAAGTATCGTTAATGGGGTGCGAAGCCTGGAACTGACTGATGGCGTCATGTTGGCCCCTCCCTCAGCCCTGTGAAGTCTGCAGTAATATTTCCTTTATATGAAGATACAAAATAATCCCACACTAGTTCAGACTTAGGTATAATACAGGGTTATTTATTTAGGGAAGACTTACAGATCACTGTCCTAGATCACAGTCCTCTGCATGAAGGGGGAACAGGAACAGAGTCTAGCAGCTGGAAGTGAGAGTGCGAAGCAAGCCCAGGCTTTATAGCTGCTTTATGAGACCACGCCCAAGTGGGCTGGTATCTTAAAGGCTATTGGCTGAAGGAACGGAAGGAGCTCCCACAGCACACATGCTTAGAAAGGTTCCCCAACTGCCCAGCGAATGAGGGATATGGCTGGCATTACAACCCAAGGCGTGCCACCCGCCTCTGGAACTGGGGTGAGGATACCTGTGTAGAGACCCAGGCAGTTAGCGCCCAGAGGAGCTCTTGAACACCAGCTCTTCGCTCCTGTGGGCGGCCGTGCTTCCTTTTGTGTGAGTAGAATGTGCCCTTATTTGTTGGTCTCCATGGTTCTTTTGGGCAAATCTTTACATAGAACCACTTCAAGCCTGCCTGTGTCTACACAATTTGACAATCTTAAAGCAGTGGCACACACAGAAGATGTCTATCAGCTGATGCTGTCCTGCAGTCTTAGTTACCTGCTTGCCACTATGATACAATATCCTTAGAGGAGAAGGGGTTTATGTTTGCACATGGTTCTGGAGGGATAGAGGCCATCATGGCTGAGATGGCATGCTGGCAGGAACAGGAAGGTGGCTGGTCTCATCACATCTGCACACGGGGGACAGAGTGGACAGGAAGTGGGGCCAGGCTGTAGACCTTCAAGCCCCAACCCCTAGTGACCCACTTCATCCAGCAATGTGCCTCCTTTTAAAGGCTCCACAACCACAAGCAGAACTCCAGGTGGGGACCAAGTGTTCATACGCCTGTCTGTGGGTATGAACAGTTTGGGTTCAGACCACACCAGCTGTCTACACAATTTGCTTTTAAATGTCTTTAATTTCTTCTCATATTTGTTAAAGGTAAAATCTTTTTTTTTACCTTTGTTTTGGGCAAAGCACTGTGGCTCAGATCTCTGGGTACAGAGACAAAGAGGTAGGGATCCTGGGTATTAGATGTAGTCCAGACTGGCCTTGAACACACTCTGTTGCCTAGGCTGGCATTGAACCTATTCTGTAGTGCTGGCCTTGAATCCACTCTATGGTCCAGGCTGACCTTGAACCCACTTTGTAGCCTGGGCTGGTCTTGAACTTGTGATTCTCCTGGTTCCCTCCTAAGTGACAAGGATTGCAGGCCTGTGGCATCAGGCCCAACTAATAACAAGCATTTTTAACACAGCATGCCAATTCACTCAGTGTTTAACAAGTGTCTGATGGCTTCATCAGCATGAAC